CTTTTAGCTCCAAAATAACCACTGCTCTGTCCTCTCTTCAGTTTACAGGCTAAATGTGAGCTCAGCTGATCTCTCTCTGTTGGTTTAAACATGGTGAACGGGTTTGTTGTTAGAATACCAATGTTTAGCACTGGGTAAATATCTATGGGGGAAAAACAGTTTCCAATTTTCTCGCTTGGACACTACTAAAGTGCAAATTGAATTGGACCATTTAAATGTTCTATAAAAGTGTCTGCATCGAGCGGAGAGGAGTCCAGCAGAAAAGACACGTTATTGAAGTATGTGACGAGACAATGTCATGACGAAGAGCTACTGAGACAGAAAAAAAAACACTCCACTCTCTTCCCTATAACCACCTCTTCCTCTCCCATATTCACACTCCTGAGGTGTGATGACAACATTTCTAAACTGCCTTTGCTCTTGACCACAGTTGGAGCGCAGCCTCCAGGAAGCACTGCAGCTCCATCTACATGAATACATGAGAACAAGGAGTGAAGTGCTAACACCAGAGAAAGCAACACTTCTGAGAACAATGGCTTTTACAGCAGAGCCAGTGATCCAACGCTGGAGTGAGACTCCAAACAAAGTGAGTTTTTAGGGAAGAAGAGAGTGAAAAAAACCCACTTTCTACAATGTGCGAGAGGTTGGAAAAACAAGCAAATGTCAGCAGCGGGACTGGAGCAGAGCAGTAAACTGTGAAATTCTGTCATTGCAGTGGAAGCTGCCGATGCCCATACTTCATTGACACAGTACAGGAGATGGCAGCTGTGGTGGCCACACATGAGAACATAATGTATCCTACACACAAACGCCTCCACATGGCCGCTCAGCCAGGGAGGAGGGAATGAACCTTCTGTGATTGGCCAGAGAGCAGAAAAAACAAGGCTGATTATTTGCGTGGTTTCTCTGTATCTGATGGGACTCAGTGATCCTTGGTGTATCAGCCTGACTGCAGATCCCAGATACTTGGCCTTGAACGCCGAGGATCACTTGACTATTCATGCGAACGCTTGACACAATACACGTGGGGATGAGTAACAGACTAGAGCTCAGTGACGATGGGGCATGTGTTTGTTGCACCTATGCATGTGTCAACACAAGAGAGGAAGGACTTGTTGTTGATCTCTTTTTAATTTCCCCAAAGGTCAACGACAACCCTGCTGTTCTTGATCTGACAACTAAAACATTAATCCAGAGGTATTTTTCAGTCCCTTTCTATCAACAGCACCATATATCCTAATGGGAAAAACTGTTTGTCATTTACGACCAGCTGTGTTAAGATATACACCAACATTGACGGTCATTCCGCCTTAAAGGGACTGCGTTGGTAAATGTTTCCTCTGCCAGAACTGTTTGTGAGACCCTTTGGACAGAGGAGCACAACAATAAAACATGTCTTCAGCTCAATGGACTTATATCCGGTTCAACAGCTCCCTCTTTCCCCCTCGGCTGACTCAAGGGGAAGGCTTACAAAGGCAGAGAAGGACCGGCTCATAAAAACATCACATTAAAGAGAATGTCTGTTTCTAGATCAGGTGATCTATCCACGTTCAAAATCCAAGTTGTAGTAGCATTCAATGGACAAAGGAAAATGACTGCTAAAATGTATTACTAAAAGCAACTGCACGAAAAAGTGAACTGCAATACAATATGAGCATGCCAGTCGCAAAAGCATTTTCCAACAAACCATAGAGTGATTTTTACATCTGTCAGGAAACAGTAGTCAAATCCCAAATGATCACAAACTCAAACCAGAAAAAGACATTTTTGACTTCGTGCTGCTGTACATCTGAGACTTCCCACATGTTTGACTCTGCACATAATTTACTTTTAAATTTAAAAAAATCCCGTGAGATAGAAAAAAAAAACATAAAAGAAAGCCTCTAAACACAGTTTCTTCACCTTCTGGATGAAGTGAGGTCCAGTTCACAGGAATGTAGAGCGACGTTCTGCTGTGGCCTCAGGAGCGGTAACCGTGCAGGTGCAGCGCCACGCACAGGGAGACCAACTATCCAGCAGCGGAAAAAGCCCCGCGAGTGTGGGTTGAAAACCGAATCAAGCTTTAAGAAGAACTGGGGACGCCTTAAGAATGTTTGAGGGGGATAATCTGTCAGAGACCGCCGTGGATTTCTGTCTCAAAGCGAGTCCGCGCTTCAGTCCACGACGCGAGGCGGCAGCAGTGATGTGCGCCAGCCGGAGTGATGCTCACCTCTCCAGCAGCTGAGCGCTACTGAACAAAAGAGCGCTCTGCAGGCTCTCTATTCATCGAGCGGTTAGAGGGAGGAGGAGGGGAGGGAGGGAGGGAAGGAGGGGGACGAGCTAGGGTGCGTGTGCGCGCGTGCGTGCACGTATGAGCGTGATGTTGCCCAGCATAAAAATGTAATATGTTTTTATCTCACACTCTTAAAACTTAATTCTTACTACACATCTAGAACAATGTCTGCTACATGACTGATGAGTTGGTGTTCACTTTGAGACAAGACTCGCACACAGCCATTGTTCAGATAACGAATAGAATAGAATAGAATAGAATAGAATAGAATAGAATAGAATAGAATTCATTGTCCAATTCAGGGAATTAGTTTGGAATTCCTGCCTGACATTCAATGCCTTCCACCCGAGAGAGCTGAAGGTCTTATAAATAAAGTAAGCATAGAAAATAAATATATGTATCAATTTACCAAGTCCGTGAAAATATATATGAAATAAATATAATATAATATATGAAAATGTCCTTGATAATCAATACAAATTCCAACGTGTTGCTTGAAAATGAATAATAACTGGTCTATATCAAAATACTTTTTTTACAATCTTTTCTACAATAATAGTAAATATTATGCAATACTGTAATACTGAATACATAAACATATGAACTTCTAAAGAAAATTGTTTTTCATGTGGAACAACTGTAATTTCCACTTCACATTTTAAAAACTGAGGAACTCGACTTCAAAAAGCAAATGCTCCTTTACTAGGAAACATAAGGCTTTAACTTTCCTGTTGACATTATGCAGATTCACACTGCCTGTTATGGAAATGGAATTATCCATTTCCATTATGGAATTATGAATTATGGAACTGGTGTTGTATCCAAAGATACGCTTCTTTTGGGTATTTTCCTTTAATTTAAATTTGACACGCTGTTCGTCTTCTATTGACACCGGCCTGTGTGCTGCAGTACGTATCACAGTTAAAACAGATCACTTTGTCACTTTTGGGCTGTTAAAGTTGCTTGACTTCTCCTCACAGTATGCCAGTTCACATAAACGTGGTGTTTACTGCCCCTGCTAAAAGCACAGTTGGTGCATGTTGCCTGCAGTTATTTTGAGGAAGGTGCTGCTGCATGGTCTTCATTAGGCAGAGTGAGAGTGACCCACTGCTTCGTTGCATATAAAGAGTAATGATGCCCCACGAGACACCGTGCTGCGTGCTTGGAGAATAACGCTTTGTTCGGCAAAGTCGTAATGCTCAGTCTACATGTATAATTACCTTTAATATACTCAAAATAGCTGCAATCGGGATAAAAGTAGTTTATCCCGATTTATCCCCATTATTCTTGTATTCTCTTTATAATAAATATTTCTAATGCCATTTATATTATTCTTGTATTCTCTTTATAATAAATTCAGAAGAAAAGGGAAAGAAAACAGCTGGGACTTCACAGGGAGCTATCCGTGGTGCTGAACCTTTATAGCAACACATTTAGAAGCTAAAGGTTTTCAAAGCCTATGTTGGAATCTACTGTATGTATGATGTTGCACATATATATTTATGTATTGGATATTATCTATCATCCACACTTAACTCAAACTGTTGAGTTTAATAACTGAGCATGTTAACAACTCTTAGAATGTGGTCATTCTTACACCACACTGCATTATTAAAGACAGCACCAAGTGGGCGTAGTCAGTCAATGTAGGTTCTGTTCCTAATGATCTGTTACCTAATGTTAATCAATAAACAGTTGTGGCTGTCAAATTAAAATCTCGTTTGGCCTGAACATTTGTTTGGCCATATGAAAACATTTTTTAACAACCAAGATAAAAGACAATCTAGTTTAAACGTAGCATTGATTGCAGCTGTTGCAAAATTGAAGAGTGGAGGAGGGGAATAACAGAGAGAAAGAAAAAAAGAGAGATTCACAAACTATTGTAACGTACATGAAATACATACAGATACGTTGGAGACAAAGAGATTTTCAGAATTGAAGAACTGTCATCACTTTGTTTCCAAAAGCAAACTTAATTAATACTCATGGGAAAGATGGAGAGCCCCTCTCTTTTGCCATTGTGCTCACACTATCCATGGTGAAACTGTGGCAGTGGAAAGGGAACAGATAAAAAGCTTTCCCACTTTCTTGTCTGTTTGACAGATGAACAAAGATGAGCTGCACGCTCAATACTGCCCCCAGCAGTTAGAACAAGCACAGGCCTGACACACACTCTCTCCAACTACTTTGACAGCAACAGGGCCGTCACGTACGGGTGTCACCCAAGTGCAGTTTCAACATAATAACGACATGCACTGTAACTGCTGGTGCATGAATGTCTGATGAAAAATAACTATATACGTGTGAAAGCTAACATTTAGTCATACAACATGTGGACTTTAGTGAGTCCAATCTCTTGAATCTAATGTTAGTCTGAAGCCAGGTTTGTGTATAATATAACTGTTTACCTGGAAAAGCTAACATTTAGCCACATTAGATTAATTGCTGTGGAAAATAAATAAATAACGACGGCTACGTTTCGACTGTAACGAACCATCGAGCACGACGCGTTTAGCTTTAAAGGTTAGCTGATGGCATTTCCGTACGCTAACCTGACCTCACTGGTCTGGTCACAGTAACAGTAACGTCCTCTTTAGTGGAGATATTTACCCACAGTCAGTCACTTTCTGGAGTCTCGTTATAAATCAACGTAATGAGGTGTAAATCGGCAGTAATTAGCATATGGGCTGTTGGCAAGCACTAAGACACATAATGGCACATGACATACATTCTTCACCATCGACTCTCTGGCAGTAGCAGCCAGCTCCTCTTCATCACTCTCTCTGTGTTAAAGCTGTAGATCAATAACGACAGAATCACAATTCACGTCTTCACACGCCGATAATATACAACGTGCAAACTTTAGTAGCCTACACAGAAGCCCTACATTTTAATACTACAAAAACCACTGCCCTTCAAACCACCCTCAGCAGTGAGGACCAGTAAAAACCTGACACACTCTCAAACTACATCAACACCAAAAAAGACCAGAGTAGGAAAAACAACCCTGAAGCTTTGTGCTACTTGGATCCCTCCAGACCGAAGGGCAACGCCGTTTGATGATAAGGTGTAACTTTTTACGCCGTTATTTTTTTCGTACACATTACCTTAATCTTTTTTTCCTACTCCTCTCTTCTCCCAGATTGACCTGAAAGTATTTGAAGTACAAACAAGACAGTAAACAAACAGACAGCTTATATCGATCCACAGGCTTTATAGCTCCGGGTAAATGTGTTTATTTTGTGTTGCCACTACATTATTCTTAGAGTAAATACATATTTAATGTGCTGGCTGGAGATAAGCGTAGTATGCCTTTTTGGAGGCACTATTTGGCTACAGCTTATTATGATCCTTGAATATTTTATTTAGCAAAAGCATGAGAGGACTTAATCTCCAGAGAGCTGGCTTTTTAGAACGCTGCCCATACGCCACCCATGGGGAGTAATTACAAAAGAGTAAAACTGCAACTGTAATTTCCAAATATACTTAAGAAGGGGCTGCGGTTAAAATGAAGAAAAACAGAAGCAGAAATGTTACAATTACGCACAACAGTGGTGCAGGTTTAATGCAGCTAACCCTGAACTTTGACTACGTTATCAGAGCGGAATGCAGCAAAAACATCACAGGTTCAAGCCTACTGTGTCAGGTATGAGAGGAACAAGGATGCAGGCAGGACCCAAGTGATGAGTTTAAGTTATTAATCAGGCAGGTAATCCAGTCCTAACTCACTGAAACCAAGAACCAGGCAGAGACAGAGAGAATAAGATGGCACAGCTGTGCAGGACACAGGGCAGGGACAGACAACACAACAATGACTGAGTGAAGGACACTGGTATATTTACCCAGGGCACCAGTAGAGACAAGTGACACTGATGAAAATCACATGACACAGGTGAGTGTTATGAAACTAATTAACCCTGGAGAAACAGACAGGAAGTGTGACAGACGAACCTGCCACAGACTCAAATTAATACTGCAGTAAGGATGGTTCAATCTGATACCCAGGATCGGTATTGGTTCATTGTTGGTCAAAATCTCAGGATGGAACATTGAGAAAAACAACTATAGCATGTTTTATCCAAATCCCAAAGCCCAAATCCTCAACTTCACTCTGCGTAACACTCTGTAAACAGGTGCACTATCGCCTCGGCGACTGCAGCCGGCGGCACGCTGAGGGAGAGGAGATATCAGTATCGGCCAGCTGCATCAAACCAACTCAGAGTCAGTGTTGTGCTAAAATGATCAACCACCAGAAAACCAAGGCTGTGCTTTTGGCAGAGGTGCCTGTTAAGACACAGCAACACTTTGGATGTAATGAATAAGAAATGTACCTCTACTGGTGGGAATGCTTTTACCAAAAAATATTGTGAGGAAATATTTTAGAAATCTGCCCGAAAAACAGCCTCATATCTCTGCTCTAAACCAACCTCAGAATGAGAGAGAATTTTAAAATGTAATGACTCTAATCTGGTTGAAGGTGATAGTCCACAAAAAAAGAACAAGTGATCCAAAATGAGCGATGATCAGATGAAAAGGAGGGAAAAATGTTAGATTGCCGGGTATGAAAAAAAATATAGGGAGGAGTGAGGAACCGGGATGTGAAAAGAAATAATGGAACCATAGATAACAATACAAGAGGAGAAGTGAAAATTATGAGTTAAAACATTCGTACAGTTGCAAAAGTTGCTGCTATAGGTGTCGCCATAGTGTGTCATTAAAACGCCATATTTATAGTAAAACTTTCAAAAGTGTTACCTTGTTGTTTGTAAATGCTGGTGCTTGAATCTAATGTTAGTCTGAAGCCAGGTTTGTGTATAATATAACTATTTACCTGGAAAAGCTAACATTTAGCCACATTAGATTAATTGCTGTGGAAAATAAATAAATAACGACGGCTACGTTTCGACTGTAACGAACCATCGAGCACGACGCGTTTAGCTTTAAAGGTTAGCTGATGGCATTTCCGTACGCTAACCTGACCTCACTGGTCTGGTCACAGTAACAGTAACGTCCTCTTTAGTGGAGATATTTACCCACAGTCAGTCACTTTCTGGAGTCTCGTTATAAATCAACGTAATGAGGTGTAAATCGGCAGTAATTAGCATATGGGCTGTTGGCAAGCACTAAGACACATAATGGCACATGACATACATTCTTCACCATCGACTCTCTGGCAGTAGCAGCCAGCTCCTCTTCATCACTCTCTCTGCTGCTCTTTTCCAGCTCATCACTGACGGTTGTTGTGTTGGAGCCGTAGATCAACGTGTTTCTGAAAATCAGGAGATCAGAATCACGACTCAAATCCTCGTAGGCTGATGATAATTATGGTGCAAAACGTAGTGGTCTACACAACAATCTAAATGTTAAAACTGAAAAAAAAAAATTCTGTTTTGATGTAATGACAAGACTCATTTTACTGATACTTATATATTTTTTTTAATCTTCCTAAGACAAAGGTTACATCTAATTACCTGTGTATATACACAACAATTCAATTCAGAATTTAAAAAATTTAAGACACATGGACAATAAATCATTTCTTTTGTGGAAGTTGTGATGTCATCTTACCAATATAGAGTAGATTTTCCCTTTATTTTAAATAATCTAAATTTGCTGATTCGGAGTTCCAGCTTTTTAAGTTGGCAGGTCACCGGGGGTCACCACAGTGGTAATCTGCACAGTGATTTGGCAGAAGGAACTATAGTCGGCGAGAGGAGCTGACGTACACGCCATCGGTACGTGAGTTCAGACTTATGGTGAAAATCGAGTTACATCTCACAGCGGGAACGGAATTTGGATGTAAGTGGAGGATTCCCTGTATGGCTCTATTGAGTTTACTGTGTAACTCCGAGAGGTAACAGGCTGCAGCTCACACAGAGCCGTTAAACGCTGCAGCTGTTCAGTGCTACAGAAGACACCAGTGGAAAAGTACAGATAAAAAAAGAAACAACAAAAAAGTAAAACAGTTTTGAAAGTCGACAAGTACGTTTAACACCTTTGAATAAATACATCTTCAGTTAAAAGGACCGTTTCCCTGTTCACCCCTTCCTGACTCGGCCTGATGTAAACCACAGTACTCGATCTCCCCCCAAAGTTCGGTCGATCCACGGGGGCATTTTAAGCGTGTCCGGTCAACAATAAGCGGTTCTGTCTGCACCACTGGGCTCGTGAACAGCACACACATATTCCGCAGAGGCCTAGCGGTGATCTGAGCGCTGAAGCGTCTCCCAGTGCCTCTCTCCGTCTGCCACTTGGCATAATCAGGCGTCCAAACCCAGCATGCCGCCCTGGCCCCCCGGCTTGGCTTTATCTGAAAAGACGGCACGGGTACATTCATTGGTGCGGGGAACAATTTGTACATTCAGGGGCCAGGGAATGGGTGGCTACACTTCAGCACCGAAGCCTGATGTCCAGCTGTATGCACACTCATTCATTCTGGGCTGGGGGGGACAGTTGGTCCTATTCATCTATTCATATCCATGTAGATCATCTTTACCTTCTCCTGTTTTGATGTTGATCTTTCTCTCGTCTTAAAGCGTCAAATGGTAAACAACCTTACAAATATTCACTGTTTTGAACAGCTGCTCAACTGAATGTTTACACACTTGTTAAAATTAACCAACTGACCGATGCAGAAACACAATGTCAAATCATGTGGTTTTGTCAGAGACTACATTTCAGAGCCAATTCCCAACCCTTTTGGATCTTTCAGCAAGTTTCACACTTTGATTCATGACATCACAAATATAAGAAAACGTTCTCGCTCGCAGCACCGTTGAACAAATTCACGTTCGACGTGCAGATTTGGTGTAATTCTTTAACTGAAGAAACACTAAATCCTACAAGTCAGTGTCACTCCAGGACGCGTCCCATATTTCTCCGGTCTCCACTCCTTCAGTAACATTTTCCCAATCATAAACAATTCAGCTGAGGGCGTGATCCAAATGTAACTGTCACCTTGTTATATACGGCCGCTGAGCCACCGTCATACGTCTTCAGAATGTGTCGTTGGCAGCAGAGGGAGAGAGCCATCAGACGGTTACAGTAATTGAGCTGTGTACAGTACGCTCTGCTATCTCCAGAGTGATTAATGCTACTGTGGAGAACTGCAAGGTCCAACAAGAAGACAAGGAAGATGTAAAGCACCTCATTAAGTCGAAGGAGACATCTGGAGGAGACCTTCAGCCTGTTACAGCAGATCTGTTGTTAACACAACAGTTTTCCCAGTGCGGGATCAGTTGAGTTTTATTTATTTAATAATTCACTTTTTAAATGTATTCCCTATTACTGTTACTAATACAGGCCTCATGTAAAAGAGCTAATGGTCACTGTATAGCTCTTCCATTGCTAATGTGTCATTTGACAATATCAGTTTGTTTTTTGCCAGGGAAAGCAAACACAGTGAACACAAGTAAGGTTTCCCAAAACGTGTATGATTATGTGTCATATATAATCACCGATATCATCATGATTTATTTTATTCAATAAATCTAAAAAAAATCATGATGCAGAAAATCAAAGCCAGGATTCTTCTACTTTTTTTAAACTTAAACATTAATGTTTTTATGACATGATACAGGTTTGCATTCTGTAATCAACTCAAATTTGATTGTAATCAATCAAAAATCCACTTTGTCATAGTGGTTATGGATTATGAAAATAAAAGCATCTGTTTGGTGTGTTTCTGGCTGCTGTTAATCAATTCAGTGATATGACAAAAAAGTTGCTCTGATAGATCTGGCTTCTACATTCTTAAATGTTTCAATTACAGAGTGCTTTAAATGGTCATTAATACGAGTCTACTGTGGACAGAAGAGACTAGAGAGATGACTGTCATCTGACTGCTTTTGGCAAGTCATCCCTGAGTGAGTGTTTGTCTTGGAAGAAAACAGTGTACCTGGAAAAAGTGATGGGCCAGAGTGGGCAGGCAACTCTGGCCAAATTTGCTGAACTGCATCCTGTCCTGTCAATATTTTGCCTTCAGCTTAAGCTTGTTGTACGTGTTTCCAACGCAGCCAAAGAATCAGTCCACAAGTCCATGGATGGGCCAGAGTGTGGTCAGTCCAGAGTGTCCAACCTACGTGCTACTGGACTATGTGAGAAGAGAACCCACACAAGGACAGAGAGAGAGCACAAGATGGAGCCAGGGCTTGAACTGTTGATGTTCTCTCTGTAAGGCAAGACTGCTGACTGCTATTCCACCAAGAAATATTAATAGCCTACAAATCAATATTGTAAAAAAATATATATATATATCAAAGAGAGATGAATTTTGAAATCCTAATATATTACATTGCTTTTCTATTTCGAGAGTCAAAATGCAGGCTCAGCCAAAAGACACAAGAATGGAATATTATTCATAAGTTGGCAGAGAGACAAAAAGGGGAAATGGCAAACGACTTGAAATAATACTGAACCCCACAGAAAAATAATTGCAGAGAAATATGAATCCCTCCCCCACCCCCCTCGAGCTGTGGCCACCACAACATCCCACACAATATGGGTACATGTTCAAACACAAGCCATGTATTTATCAATACACACACACTTAGTTTACTTTACATTTTCCTGTTGACTGTGTGCCGTTGCTTTAGTTTTCATCTGTTAGTTTTTGTAAAGATTGTATTTATACCACAGCATTTGCCTCACAATAAAACAAACAGCTATGGTTTTAGTTGAGATTATTGGAAGAAATGAAATAAAATAAAATGATCTGACTGCACTGACAGCAAAGAGAGGAATATTCCAGCACAACAGTGCACGTACTGTAGCTCTGCCACCACATATTGTCAAATATGTGGTGGCAGTGTATTTTCAATTTTGACCTTTGACCTAAATTGAATGTCAGAGGTATGACAGTATGAGTGCCACATCGAGAATAAAACAAATAAAATGAAAAAATAAGAATAAAGTCATATCTATCTATCTATATACCAACATATATGTGTGTGTGTGTAAAAGTCAGTGTAGAATCGTCACTGTAGCTCAGGTTGGGGACATCTAATCAAGCCTAACAGCTAAGGCCACTAAACAATGCAGGTCATTAAAGCATCATTTCCATTAACTCACCCTGTTCTCTGATGTTGGAGAAAGTGATTAGAAAAATCCTGGATCTGCACAAACTCTAATGGCGTCTTCTGTACCTCCCACCCCCTCGCTCCACAGTTTGATGAGAAGTCATTAGTACTTTTTAACATAATCCTGCAAACAAATTAGCCGACAGATGTAAACAGGCAAAAACATGATTGCATGGGCAATTAGCAGTGCACTCAGGTGACAATGTCCTCCTGTCCTTTATGACCACCTTGGCATAATTATTAACTTTCCATCAAACTGTCACATGATTCAACTTCTGTCATCACTTACTGACTGAAGTTTCTCACATTTGATGCTCAAGTAACTTAATTTGATCTTTTTTTTATTTGTATCATTATTTTTAAATACTCAAACATTAAAGATTCAACTTAAGTATGTTGTCCTTAAACATATACTACGGTTTAAACATTAAACACCAAACACACAAATATCACATAATAACAAGAAATGATTCAACACAAAACCCTGCAAAGCTTGAAACATTTCTCCATTGTGAGGTTCTTTTTTTGGTTGACAAAAAACTGAAATGATTTTAGTTAGAAAAACAAACGGAGAATTGGAAAAGAGATGCCAAGTATTGATTGAGGAACAGGAGCTCACTCCTGCTGCGTCAGAAATTGCCCTGCAGTGCTGTGAAGGTCCTAACATGAACAAATTAATAACGTTATAAAAATCAGAATAAAAAATTGAGAGTGAACAAACAAAGCACAATGCAACAAAGGAACGAAGAAAAAGTAGAAAAGAATTTAAAAATTGATCAACCATGAACCACTTTTTTAAGCAACCTGCAGAACTGATGGTAAGATGGTAAAACCTTTATTTAAGTTGTGTAATTAATTAGAGATAAAAAAATAATTAGTTCATTAACCTATTATTTAATGTGCATATTAATATTTGTTACTTATGTACACACATTTAATTGTTCACTCTCTGTTGATCATCGATGTGAATGTGCGTGTGACTGTTCATTTACCCTTCCTTCACCCATGGACCGCTGGGATTGGCTCCAGTCTCCTCCTTCCTCTCAGATCTGGAAAGGCTGAAACAGTAGAAGAAGAATATATGAAATAAACAGTGTTTTTCTGTATCTTTTCGGTCTTGAGAAAAAGATTTTGCAGCCAGAGCATGCGTTCTGAATCGAAGCACTCTTCTTCTGAGCTATAATACTCAGCTCAGTTGGATGAATTTAAAAATCCAATTTCCGACTCTAATTATATTCACTAGTGAAGACTAAGGAGTGCTGCAGTTCTGGATTTATGTGAAACATTATCAGTTTCATACTTGCCTCTGTGGACCGGGCATAAAGTACTTTACAAGTTTTCCTGGGCATGAAAGTTATAACATTTCTGTTTTTGCTTTTTTTTTTTTCCCCCCATCATGCAGTAAATGGGGCATGTCTGGAAAATATAGTAGTTTATTTTCTTTTTGCAGTGTGAGGGACTTGTTTCTACGGAGGAAGTCACATTCCATCAGAAGATCGCTGTCCTGTTTGACAGTGATCTATTACTTTAGTCTCAAACATTTCCGCTCTCGACTCAAGTGATTTGATTCAGATTGCAGTACCAGCAAACTGCAAAACAAAAACTCTACACATCAAGTATATGTGAGTACACAGTATATAGGCCTCTCTTGTTTTCCCCTTTGCATCGCTACAGATGTGGCTCCAAAATATGTTAAGAAACATCAGCTTTTTAGAATGTGTTGTCATAATGCATCAAGCTAAGAAGAACAAACAGGTTGACTTGAAAACACACTTTGTCAGAACCTGATAAACCAAATAAACAGATATTTTATTTAAAAAGTATACTGATCCTTAACAATACTTCAACTGTGGGTACCTTTACCAGTCAACTGGTCCTTAATACAAAAAACATTTGGTGACCACTGTTATAGATGATATTAGCAGAAATGCTATTTGTTTGTTAAAAAGCGACTAATACTGGTTTTTCCCATCAACCTTACCATCTGCCTGAGCGTTAAAACTTAATTGGGTGAGACCATTATCAATGCGTTAGCAGGAACTAGCAGGTAACTATGCATGACATTGGCTCTAAGTCTATAGCTCCAGCCTCCATCGTGCCCTGCTGCATCAATTATCGGACTCCTAATGGGACCATCATTTACCAGTGGACATCACGCTGCGTCAGAGAACGTCGATCAAACAATTAGGATCGCAGATCCCAGAGAACTGTTTACTGACATTTTAAATCAAGTAAGAACTAAAGCTGAGGACAAGGTGACTGGAAGAGCTCTCAGATGTCCTTCCATGAGGATGATGAGTTTCTGTATTGTATTATAATAAAAGCAGGACTTTTGTTCAATTTTGGAATAAATATGAAGTGCTGAAAACCAAAACGCTGCTTGTGCTCTGTTACTGTTTGTTGTGATAATAGGTTTGAGTGTTGACAGAGCTTGTAGTAGTATTTTTGGAGAGATGAAATTCATGTTGGTGCACTGAAGCAGAGAGCTTAGAATGTTGTGTGGTTTATACGGGAAGGACAGCAAAAGTTAGCAAGTGAGTGTATAGGTTTTTTACATTTCCATCTTCTTTATATTCATTCTTTACATCCCTTGTAAATAAGTCAAGGTTTTAATCAGTGGAGACTGCAGTAAACCAGTCCTGGAACACAGAGTGTCCTCCACATGTCCTCTCCATCAGGGCTAGCACAGCTGATTGCACTGTAATTTCTGTACAAAATTAGATTCCAAATTGTTCTCCTGGCCTAATCATATCGACTCTGCCTAACTATTCTTGAGATGCAGTCGACGTTAGAGTGGCCACATGTAAAGCAACAGCTGCTTTCTTCTCAAAGACCCAGACCCTGGTTTTCATTCGTCTTCCACAGATTAAACCTTTGGACCTGGAGAGGGGGCGGGATGGGGGATGGATCCAATCCCAGCAGTTATCAGGTGAGGATGGATGTCAAATTTGGACAGTTCCCCAGGCTGTGGCAGGGCCACACATGGAACCACACAGCAGTTCACACTCCAACCTATGGTTAGAATCAATATAACCTAACCTGTGTGGTTTTGGATTGTGGGAGGAAACAGGGTTATCTGGATGACACCTTTAAACAGGAAAGAAATGACAGTGAAATGCACTAGATTCTTTGTACCAAACCTCTGGCTCGCTGACCAATTACCCAAACCTCACATCATCAGTATGAGATTCCATCTTCAGCCACGTGCTCCGCGAGGTGACCTGAGATGGATGCACCCTTCACCAGCTCCATGTGATGGATAACTCATTTGCTTTTTCGACTCTGTCGTTAATTAGGCTTGACCAAGGACTTCTTCTGCGTTGGCCAGCAGACATGACATGGTCATAAATAACAGTTGCTTCTCATCAGCTCTAATGGAGTTACAGAACCAGTGAATGCTGATGGGGTGTATTTTTATACGAAAAGGTCCAAACACTATTAAAATATTTCCTGACTTGTTAGTCTACTTGTCATCATACGTAGTACTAAGACGTCCACTATAATAAACTTATTTTTCAAGAGTATGTAAAAGAAGTCCTCTTCTTAGCTTACTTAAATGCTAAAAATGACATGACAAAGACTAGGAGGGAGGAGTCAGGAGCAGGGTTGGGAGGAGAGGGGGATCTGTTGGGTGCCTACTGAAGGGCTAACTCATTTTCAGGGAATACAATGGAGCCATAGACTGATTTCCAAAAGGCAAATTGTCATCCTGAGTAGAATGGCACCTGTCTGGTGAGTTCATCTTGTGTGCGGAGGGTGAAGGATGTGGAGGAGGGGTAAGTAGGAGAGGGGGAGGAGACGTGGGAGGAGGCCGCATTATGCTGTGCCACTGTGATGGGGGGGGGGGATTGAAAGTGAAACTGTTTGAATTGCATTTGAAATGCATTGAAATGAAAATCAGGGAGCATTGCAGCGAAAGCAATCGTGACCCATTCAGACAGTCAAGATTGATTGGGTGAACGGTCGGTGATTGAGAGAGACAATGATGCTGTTGCCTCGGTGACAGGCCAAGGACTGACATCCTCAAAACACACCACCTCAGTCCAGTACTTTCAGACTCACTTCTCCACAAACACGCCACTATTCTCCACCATGTTTACTCCACTATCTTTGAGGCTGTGGCCGGACCGTTCAGGACCGCAGGTCATACTCCTAATTTACAGATAATCTGTTGGCACGGAGTGGAGAGACATCTTATCTAACAGCAGCCTGGGCTCCATATATATATATATATATATATATATAGGGCATAAAGTACTATATATATATATATATACACACACAGTATATATATATATATATACATACACACCATATACATATACATATATATATATAGTTTATGGAGTCAGACAAGTGAAACTGTTTGGAATAACACTCAGTAGTTTTGTCTGAATAACCATTATTGCCCGAGAAGCTCTTTACAGTTCCAGTAATGTCCTTGACCTCACTCTGGGCATGTGCTCTACATTTATGAAACCACTTTAAAGAAAATTAGCCTTTCAATTACTGACTCTTTATGCTGCCATCACTCATCCACCTGTCTTCTAATTATCATCCCTGCTTTGTTCTTTAAAACAAGTCATCCCATTTGCACCTAAGAATATATAATAACATTTATGAGCTATTTAAAGCTGCTTCATGTTCTTGTCCTCCTTTTAACTAAAATGTTTTTTTTACCAAAACATTAGCATGGGACTCTCCCTTTTTTGAGTGGTCACTCAATCAGTCCTATACTGTATATTTAGTTTTATACCAAACTGCTTAGGTATTAATTAAATGACATTCCATGTGAATAAAGCAGTAGCTCATTTGTGCATCTGGCACGACAGGTAGTAACACAGTGGCAAAGCAGGCAGTGTGGGCTGTAGTGTAAGCAGTCACATGAAGCAGGGTCCTGATTTTTAGCATTTATTCTGTTAGTAAAGAGATTCAGGTGTTGCTTCTACAAAACTCTCTAATTTCTATTTAAAAAATGAATTCACACTTTCACAAAATGTTATGCCGAGATATTAAATGGTGAGGACAGACAGCAACCCAGAAAACAATAACATGAACTAAGAGGAGGAAGAGGAGGAGGAGCTGTTTAGTACCATTCTGACACTTGGCTGATCATGTGAAGAAAGCTGCTGTGAATAAAGTGAGTCGGGGAGATCATGAAGATGGGTGTTCATTCATGCACGTCCTCCACGTCGACATTTTGTTTCTACATTCCAACATCCTGAAGACCAGACTTAACCAAACCAATTCATCTTTTGTGCTGCTCTGCTTACATCCTCTGACCATAACGTCATCTTAAACCAACAGATCTGTCCAGCAGGGCACGTGTGCCTAAGCCGGTCCTCACAACAGATCACTTTGTTATGCCGTGCTCCGTTTGCCAACCTTCACTGAAGGTCGTCTTACACTCATACAGTCCATGTTCTGGTTCCGACACCGGTGGCTGAGAATGCATGAAACTGTGTAACTGCAGCTGCAGGCTGGGGGGGGGGACTGAACATCATCTCCAAGCCTCCAACTCCATCACAGGTAAACATGGACTGTGGCTGTTGGAGCATGAAGTCAAGGAAGCCACAGTTCATAAATTTTGCCAATTGCAGAGCAGCTCAGCCAGGGTTGTAAAGCCTGCAGGAGCCACAGCTTTACACTTCCTGCTTCCTAAATTGTGTTTATTGTGCTGGACTGCTGTTTAAGGCAATAAAATGATTGTGTTTTAATTTATTGATTTATTATTTTTAATATGCCCAATTGTATTATGAACTGGTTTGAAGGATTTGATTATTTCTATTTTAATTTCCTCATGTATTTTCCTCTGTTGGTCTAAAGACTGGACGGAAAGAGGTTTTGGTTAACTGGACACTTACTGTGGACTTTTTAGTTAAAGTATAAGACGACCATTAGTACTTATTTTTCTCTATTTGTCCTTTTTATAATAGCAAGTTGTCCATTCAGCAGCTGCAACTTTCCAACCTCCCAGTAAATGTCGGGAAAGCAGGGGAGACGTTTTACAAACCTGACGACATACAGCCAATCAAATCCATTGCTACTTGACTGTGGGTGAATTAATTAGTCATTGCTCTTTGTAATAAAGGCAGCGAGGCGTAATGTGCAAATGCTGCTTTTTAATGATTCCATTAAAGAAACCTACTCAAACCACAGCAGAAAATTTCATCACAGATGAGCCCTGGTAGACAACAGCACCGCAGCTCAACATCCTGTGTTAATTGCAGCACCAGTCGACAGATGGGCCTCACTTTCCCATTTGTACCTGATTAAAACCATTTAGAAGCCAAAGAACGCCTAATGTTTCAGACGTATGGTCACTAAGTAGCAGAGAAAGGGACGTGGTCTACGGCGGTGACAAATGACTAATCAAAAAGGAATTTCAAATTTCCAAATCTTATTTTCAGCATGTACGAATGACCAGATTGTTTGTGAACAGCCAATGACTCGTACGCTTCAATTTGAGGTGTAATCTTTCACAATTCAATAAAAACTGAATCGAATTTCAAGAAGGTTAGACAGTGCACTGCGGTATGGGAAATTAATGTACTGTACTGCAGCCCAAAACTGGATGTCGTGTCTCTCAGATGCCATTAACACAAGCATTAATCACCTAAGTCGTTAAGGCAATCTGCACAAATACCCACAGCTCATAAACTCTGAAATTGGCCATAGTGACTTTTGCACCTCCTGAAGCATCTGTTCATTCTCCTTCCAGGACAGTCAACCACACCCACACGCATAATTCACACGACATGGGACGAAGAGATCTCCATGAATGAGCAAAATATAACTTTAAAAGTACTTGATGTTAATTTAGCGCACGTTCAAATCTATGTGTATTTGGTAACAGTTCAGCAGACGCATAGCAAAAAAGTTAAGATTTATCCTTAACAGTTCACAAAATGCCATACTGAAAACACAATACTGATAGAAATATTGTAAAGACAAACTCACCTAACTGTACATTTCATACACAACCTAAAGCCTCAGGTTCAGACATCCATGTACTATACTGTCCAGGTTATTCTTTATCTCTTTACTACTAGACACTCCAACATTCTTTAACAAACTGATTCCTGTCCTGTTTGCATTGGTCTTTGGTTTATTTTTTCCTGTATCGACCACTACTGCCACCTTCTGTGAACTGTGGACTGGACTTCGACTCTTTCAGGAAGTTTATTCTGTCAGTGCTTTGAACTCTGTTTAAAACCCTAATTAGTTAACGATGTGTTTTGCACATTGTTCTTCTTAATTAAAGTTTAACTGTTACTGGGCTTTTTTGTTACAACTGTAAGATTGAATCTTGCCCCATCACAAAGAGCCTGGGTGGAGTCATAACTGTATAACTGTTTCACACTGTGAGGCCCGTGTTGTAATTATCAGAGGCTGTAGTGGCCCACACAAGTATAATTCCGACCCTGATGCCAGTTTATTTGCACTTGTGATGATTGTAGGCCAGGTGGAGCCAAACAAGGTTACGGGCCAGAAAATTAGTTTTGAGAAGCAAAGGCTCTATATGAGGCCCAGTGGTGCTGTGCTGGCATTACAGCACCTCTGCAAAACAGTCACCAATACACACTCCAAATTTTACAACACATTTAATCAAGACTTACGCTGAATATGGAATATATGAGCACGTATTAAGCTGTGTGTGAAACACAATCAGACGTATTTATTATGTGCATTATAGGGCCACCGATTTTATAAGGAACTCTCAAATGTCTACATTTGCATGAAATTAATTAGTTTGGTAAAATACCTGTACAGTCTTTTCATTTATTTTCACATTGTTCGCTCTTGGACTGAGTGAAGTCAATGTCCTTGAAGCCAATGGAAGGAGCAACAAATGCATGAACAGAAATTAAACACAAAAACACTGGTCATCTAATTCATACAACATCTGCAAGTTATTCCCTGGCAATCAATATTTCACAGTTATTTATATCTGCAAAACAGTAAATCCTGATGTACAGGATCTGAGTCAAAACATGGGAAGCCAGTATTTTGATTACTATAGTACTGTGCTATACTTTATTTTCTTATACGCTGTACTTTACTTTGCTGCTGTAAACACTGTGAATTTCCCCAAACCATTTTAACACGGACACAGACAAACACACAAACTCAGCTTCTATATTGGTTCCCTGGTTAAAACAAGGTTTTGCTTTTTTTAATAAAAGCAGTGAAGCTTGTGCTGGAAATGGCTTTTTCTAAGATGATCCAATCTGCTGTGGATCGATAAGAATACGCACATCAATGCACACTCTTACCTGAATACACATACCTAAATGTCTCTGGGTTGTATTTCCCCCGTTTCCCTGTTGGTATCAGTTGATAGTTGAGATGCTGAGATGATCGATCACAGTTAGCAGGCCCAGTCCATGCAGTCCTCTCCTTCTTAATCGATTTTCTCTGACCTTTGAGTTTGAGCTCCAACCTGCAAGAAGAAAACACTGAAGTGATGTATAACAGCCTGGAAAACACATTACACATTATAACATTAAACTTCTGCTGTGTTTTATCACATGTACTCTTACCCCCGTCTTTACCTTTTATTTCATCAACAACAAAGTATGTTAAATCCATGATTTGGGTTTTGTTATATATTTTAATTAAAGTATGCCCAGAGTTTAGAAGAAAATGCACATACTGGGCCTTCACTCTGTTGCCTCTGTTTTCCAGATCCAGTTCAATATTTTTTTTATTCATAAAACTTCTCAGTTGACTGAAAGAAAATCTTTAAAACGTAGACAGTTTGAATGGAAGGCTTTACTTACTTACACATGTAACCGGTGTAGCCTCTGCGTTGTGTTTAATGAAAGCCGTCGTGCCGCTGTCACAACCGCCTTTGTTGGTCTGACGGAATTCACATAGAACAAAATTAATTTTCCTCCTGGACCCCACCCGAGCCCCTCTTCCACAAAGTCCGAAGAAAGAGGAAGAGGTTGGCGTTCTCCTTGGGTACTGTGGTTTCCTCCTACAGTTCAAAACCATGCAGGACTCGGTCAATTAGATACTCTAAATTAATGTTGTGTAAGTGTGAGTGTGAACGGTTGTATATTTGGTCCATTCATGAACTATCTCACCTGATAAGTACTAAAACTGTCTCATGCTTCCACTGCAACCAGGAAATGTGGTGCCCAAATTGTTCCTCAAAGGGCCATGTTGCTGCAGGTGTTTGTTCCAATCAAGCAGTAGCACACCTGAGTTGACAGGTTTAATCAACTGGTCTCAGTCTTCACACAGCTGATTGGTCAAACTATGTGCTCTTGATTGGTTGGAACAAAAACCTGCAGCCACATGGCCCTTTGAGGAACAGTTTGGGCATGCCTGCAGACACTTGAAAATAAACAATACTATGCAAACATTTGGCAGCTAATGTTTAGCAGCTTTACAAACGTATTGCCCTGATACATGCATACAAAAGCCAAACTCAATAATAATTCTCATTAATTCTTATACCTCTGCGTAGTTTTTACAGCATCACTTCCAAGCTGACCGCTTTCACAATGCTTTGACACAATAATTTGGTCCATGGCTTCATCTTGTGGAGAGAAAGAGGAACGACAGTTTGCCACTGACGTCACTGTCGCAAAAACGGCAGACGTGAACACTACGCTATACGGCAAATTGAAAATTTAAAACTAATATGGCTTCCTTGATTTGCAGGGAAACTCAAAGCAGGTAAATAATACGTATTGTTAATTTAAAACAAAAAGTAGATAGAATTCCCTTTGGTTTTAACGACAGAACTGCTGTTAAATGACACGTGCCTCAAATAAGCCTCGGTGTTTTGTAGCTGAGATGTTTTGTTCTTATTTCAGAGTCAGTTCAGTTTTGAACAGAGATGTGAAACAGTTTGGAAAGAAGTTTATGTTTGACAACGATGAAGAAACGTGTTGGAATTCAGATCAGGTATATGTACAGCCATTTCGTTCCTCCATACAACGTGTAGCATACCAATACATAGCGTACTGTGGTTTTTGCATCAACTAACTTAGATTTAATGTTTAAGAATAATTTTAAAATACTCTTCAGTCATCATGCTAATCAGGTCCAATAAGACCAATATAATTTTAAAATATCTTTATGTAATAAAAAGTATACAGCATATATAAAGTGTGGGGGGTTGTATACTTTTTTAAATTAATATTGTTTCATAAATGTGTTTTAGTATTTTTTAATTTTCATGTTGTAAACATTGGGGGCTTTGGTTGGGAGCTCATGAAGACGGTTCCAGGTTCTAATCCAAGTGTTACATCAGGAAGAACAACTGTGTCGAATCTCTATGCAGACTATTAATTTGACTTCTGCTAGAGGAAAGAAGTTAAAAAAATCATTAAGTAATAGTACGAGTATTCTTACTATTGTTGGCAAGTTTTTATTTTGCACTAAAAACACCATACCTTCCTAAATAAATGATAATGATTTTGTTATTTTTTTCTGCAGGGGGAATGTCAGTGGGTGTCTCTGGAATTCCCCAAGACTGTTAAAGTGTCAGAGTTGAAAGTCCAGTTCCAGGGGGGGTTCTCAGCTAAAACATGCAGACTAGAAGGTAAAACTGAGAGAGCATTTTTAATTTGTAATCCTAATTACATATAGGTTGACCATTCAAATCATCTTTATGATTACAATCATTTAAAAAAATAACCAAATTGTCTTTTTTTTTTTTTTTTTGCACTAGGTTGCCAAAGAGAAAAAGACTTTACAGCTATCGGCCATTTTTACCCAGAAGACAACAACTCACTTCAGATATCCTTACTTTTCCTTTTGCAGTGTTTTTTTCTCTGAGCATGGCACTGTCCCCACACACACTTTTTGTTGTGTGCATTGGTGTGCTGCGTCACAATGACAAGTAGTTCTCTTTCCTTTCCTTCCACTTTCCTTTTCATCGATACTGTACTTGTGTTATTCTTAACTCCACACCCACAGCTTTCCCATACAGGAGGCCCCTCCGGTGGACAAAGTAAAAATAATATTTGAAAATAGTGCTGACTTTTTTGGTCGAATAATTGTTTATTCTTTGGACATCCTGGGAGAAAATGCTTGATTACTAGTCTTTTCAACCCTCTCCTGAGAGAGGAAATGGTCCTTGTTCAATGCACAGGATGGTGTGACCTCCCCCCATTATGAGGCCTTTTTTGGAATGGGTCACTTTTAAGGGACTGATGCATTTTTTTCATCAATCATCACTTCAAGACTAACTGAACTTACTAAATGCAATGTCCATATACTATAAATCTTTGTTCTTTATATTTAAATAAGCATTCTGACAGGTAAAAAATAAATGTTTTTTATTAAAAATGTCTACATTTATTATTGCAAACATGGTTGAAAAAATAGTAACAGGAGATATCCAGTTCTCCTGACCACTACAGAATACAAGGCTGTTGCTTTTAATTACAGTACCCAATGTCATGTTGATGTCTGTGTCGGCCTGTAGAGTTTCAAAATATGGTTCTCCAGTACTTTTTGAACTAGAAAACAAAGCATAGAAATATTATTTTACTACAGCAATACATTGTGCAGTACCTTGTTATAAAATTACACTTTGCCAAGCTTTAGATGAAATATTGTTTTGGCAAGTTCTAGACAGTGCGTACTCTTTTTGTGTCCGAGTGCAACTGCCAAAGCCATTGGGCTGTATCCAGAATCGGACTCGATGGTCATGTCAGCTCCTTGAGCTAAAAGATTGGAGGATAGGTATTTTATATTTATTTTTTCATTATATTTAAACCTATATATATGTATGTATATATACATATATCACATTATATTTTATAGACAAACAAGGTACCTAGAAGTGCCTGCACACATTTAATGTGGTTTCCTCGTACTGCATATAGAAGCGGTGTTCCACCATTCTGAAAAAAAGTTATTATAGTTATATGTTTTAGTGCTTATTGTGTGAGCTATATTAAATTCCAATTGTACCCAGTCATAAGTGTTTATGTCCACTCCATGCTTAAGAAGTGACTCAACGATGTCTGCATAACCTCCAGAGCTGGCTAGGGTTAAGGCACTCTCTCTTTCCCGTGCCACAGTTGTGGGGTCAGCACCCTTAGAAGAAAAAAATCCAATGCAATGTGTGATTATTTTATTATCAATGCTGTGCATCAGTGTATGATCAGCAGTGAATAACTTCTAACCTTTTCTAAAAGAAAGTCCACCACTGCTTTTTCTCCAAACGCTGCTGCCCACATGAGAGGTGTGAAGCCACGTTCGTCTTGCTTGCTGAGCAGTGAAGCATCTTTAAATAGTTGGGAGCACAATTAAACAATACAATGTTTGTGAAATGCTCTTTGTTGAGAACTGTTTTGAGGATGGCAGTGATTTGCAGACTCCTCACCTTTACTGAGTTGTGCTGCTACTTGTGAAACCTCACCCTGAGCTGCCAGCTGGTGTATTGAGAGAGCTGATTAAAACAATCCAATGATTTTAATTATAACTCTAAATGTTACAAATGTTTTTGTACATTTTCTTACGAATGTATCATCCCCAGAACTTACAATCTAGCGTTGCTGGACGTACTGTAACCTCGTTCCCCCTCTGTTTGTTGGTCAAGGTTGCGGGGCGTTTAAACGACTCCTCATCTGTGTCCGAGTTTTCTGGATACAAATCAATCAAAAACATAAAACCGGTGTGTCCTGAGAGGCGGTGTGTGAATACTACACACTATTACATACCGTGGGCCATGTCGTCCCCATGGGAATATGTACTGTCGTTAACTGTCTGAATATTTTGGTCATTAGCCGTGTCCTCCATTATCACTGCAATCATTTTTTTTAAAAACAATAAATTCTAAGTCGTAACTGCCTTTAGGAGAACGAGCTGAAAAACGTAAGTAAAGTAAACATTCAACTTACCACATTAAACATCCCAGTTTGAGTTAACTTACTAACTAACTAACTAAGTAAAAAATAAATGACTACTACCGCTATTGAGAAAGTTTTGCTTTCGTTACCTGGTTCCTATGTTTCTCTTCGGAATCTTATAGTGGGACACAAAACAACAAATTACGGAAGCAGCTGACAGCTGTGGTTCTATATGCTTTCGTTCTGTCATTTTAATTACTATAACAACTCTTGTTATGGAGGACCAGGAAATGCAGCTGAAAGTTAGACGAGGTAAAAACAAAACCCCAGCCTTTAACCTAGCTCTATTGCTATTTTGCAACCGTGCTAATGGCTGTTATTTCACCGTTACGAATATTCTACTAAGCTATAGCAGCAGTCAGTCATACGTTTAAATCTTCTGCTTTTAGTGTTTCGTTTTAATCTCCTAACGCTGACCGCGTTTTCTACTATTGTGCCTGTATTTTTCTGTGCAGTGACTGACAAGTTTACGGAAAGCATGTACGTCCTTGCCAACGAGCCGTCCGTGGCTCTTTACAGACTGCAGGAGCATGTCAGGCGGTCGCTACCCGAACTGGTGCAGCATAAGGTAAATGCACTGTTACTGTCAGCTCAGCAGAGCTGCAGAGCAACTATTCATAGACATTTAAGGTCCGCAAAAATTATGTCAATTATAAGGACATGTACACGTCAAGTAAACAATGAACCGGATGTAAAACTGGACAGGAAGTATTGTCTCTTAACAAAGAATGTTACTTATGACAAAGGTAATAGGGACTGGACTCCACTGAAAACCCTACTATTGTCTTTAAAGTTAAACATTTTATTTGTTGTTGTTTTACTAAGGTTTAAAATTAGAATGCATGTTATGTTTCAAGTAGTTTTAGATCTCACTTCATCTGATTTTGTTTTCTGTTTCTTAAACTGAAAACGCATTCAAAAGGAACTCTGTTTTATTCCTTAGACCAAACCAACAAGGGGCAGCCTGTGGTCTAGTTGTTAAAGCATCAGTCTTTGCCAGTTCGTGGCAGGGCCATGGTGTATTGAGCAAGTGCCAAAAGAACTCTCCAAAAAACCCAAAGAGAAAGAAGCAGGCTGGGGAGGGTTAGCTAAAATAGCTCATCTTAGCTTTGCATTGAAGGAAACTTCAATGAGCTGATCTGTCTAGAAAAACACTGTGGAATAAGAGTTCCTCGCCGGTGTGTGATTACGGAGATGGTTAAGTGTTGTTGCCTTACTTAATCTTCACTAAATTCTTTCTCACTTTCAAGTACGTTCCTGTTCAGTAGGAGTTAAAGTCTTAGACTTCCATTCTTCTTTTCACATTCTTACTTTACTTTAGTTAACACAGCCACTGTAAACAGTTGATGTGAATATGTGTTACTATAACCTGTATGAATGTGTTTAAAATATAAAATTTGTCATTGATTTTCTCTTTTGTATTTAATATAGTTCTCAGTGACAATCACTGATGTTGTCCACTGTGCTTATAAATGTTTGTAATGACTTGTGTTTGTGATTTGACTAGGAGGTAGTAACAAGTTCATGACAGAAAAAAAAACCTCAAACCTGAACTACCTGAACCCTCAGCCACATCTTTTCAGTGGCTTCTGTTGACATGTTCCTTTGTCTTGCAAATCTTTCCAATCTGGTTGTAACAACGGGCTTGCCGTTACCCCCAGAAGCATGCACATTGTCATAAGGACACATAGGAGATGTGTAAGAAGAACATTTATTGGTTGGTCGTGTTCGGGTGTGCGTTGCCGGCGAGGGCGGAGACGCACGGCGCGGGACGCGGGGCCGGTCCGCCTCGTGGTCTGCTTGCTAGCTGCCGCTGCTCAACCGCCTGAACACACAAAACACAGACACACAGACTAAATACACGAGTATGAAGACTCGTTAAACAAACCGAAGTATATTGTGGATTGAGCTAGGGCGTAACAACACAAAGGGAAACTTACCACAGCCTGCTGCTTTGTCTTCACATGGTGTCTCGTCAATACACGCCCTCGGGGAACGGGGCCCCTCTGTATGGGTGTGT